CTAGGATCATCCTGCAGCAAAGCGCAGAGGAACATCCTATCAGTCGATCAAGAGCTATTATCAAGAATTCTCACCCACGGCCAGCCTTTAATAGGCTATAGGTCTGCTGAAATCTCAACCTAGGAGCGGCTGGGTGGGGTGTGGGCACCTCATTCCCTCATCCCATCATGACAGGTGTGTCACATTGTTACGCACCCTGAGGTGCAAGAATAGACCACCAAACATTTCAAGCTCCTAAGGAAAGTCAGCCAGCTTTGGTCCTCGTATTTCTCACAGGTTTCAAAAGATCCATGTATGTCTACAGCCCTGATTATCTCCTAAAGAATCAACTCTAAAATAAATAAGCTCAAGAACTAACAGCTCAAATACTTCTAATTCATTAAAATCCATGGGGACGCGCAGCATAAGGTAAGAGATAACGTATCAGTTATAGATCACAGACCCATTTCAGTCATTAAAACAGGAGAAACCAGCCAACCAGTCTTGGATAACACAAACAGGACCCGGACCTTTGCTTTCTCTGCCAGAGTGACGGACAGAGTCCCTGATACCCAGGTCTGGGATTGTATTTTTATGTTCAGGAGGCATCTCCTCCAGGATGCGTTGGCAAGAGCGGGAGCAGAGTCATCCATACCCCTCCCCACTTGACTTACACTGCAAAGCGAGTGGTCAGATGAATGCAAAGGTCCCTCCAACCCGAGGACTCTAAGGCTAGTTAGCAGCCCTGCAAGGCAAGGGAATGTAAGGTTCGAGGCAGCAAGGGTGTGGCCCCACTTACATCTCCAAAGCACCCTGCGCAGATCGTGGGTTACCTGCTGGCCCCTTATGAACAGAGGGACTCGTGCTTCCCACCCTGAGCTGTAGGTCTCCAGGGAAATGCCCTCTCTGTTGCCTTCATTTCTGCAGAAGAGAGCCAAGGTAGGACCCCTGGGTTCATCTTTGGCATCTCCTCTAAGCCCCGCTGTTTCCCAAGTATCACTTGGCTTCAGACAAGGCTACTGTTTTAGAAGGTCAGTGAAGACGCTTTTGACCATTTCCAAAAGCAGAGAAGAATTACCAAAGAACTCCTCTTCCCGGTAGCAAGGGAAGAAAATATTTAAAACCACATGTCAATCACTGCAGGGAAGTCTTCCCTACAGAGATGATCTCCCTCCCAAGGAAGTGAAAGTCCTTGTTGGGAGATGACCCAGATCAGCACTTCTGTCAGGACTACCGAATGCTCTGGGCCTGACTCGAGTGCCCTGGAATTCCAGCACAAGGCCAGAGATGCTTTAAATTCTCAAATATCCATGTGAGGTCTGGAGTTCCCACATCCCCAGTGGTGACTTCTTTTTCATACCACAGAGAGCCTGGCCTGAGCTCCTCTCTTGGGCAAACCCAGAGCAGGACTCATTTCACCACAAGAGGTGAAATTTCTTCCACTTACATCCTGACATCAGGATGCAGGGAGCTCGGGAAATCCCAGCCAGCCATTCACTCCCGCCCCTCAGTGAACAGGGGGTTATCTCCACTGCACAGAAACACTGCAGGAAAAACAGCCCCCGTCCCTTGTTCCCTCACCGATCCTTAATGTCTTCCTGAGCCCTAGCCTGCCTGGTCAGTCCCACATCTAGAAATGGCTCAAACAAAGAAGACAGGGAAAGGGGCCAGGGCTAGCGACAGGCCTCTGACCCATGCAAGAGCCAGCAGTGGGTCAGCAGCCAGGGGCCGGGATGAACAGGGATGTTGCTGTTCCCCATGGGATCTGCTAGAAGGCCCTTTTGGCTGTAGGTAGTCACCCCAGCAGATGACCTAGTATGGTCCCTGAGGCAGCCACATATAACCTGTTGCATGACAACAGGCCTGTGTAATATGGGGCTTAGCTATATGCTCAACTGTGCTGGCCACACTGGCATCTACTCCAGCCAGTCCGGTACCCCACAATCCTGGGGAGAGGCAGCTATCACTAAGGAGAGATACCAATAAGGAGGTAAGACACCCTAACAAGAGCAAAGCCACCACATTTCTGGTGAGGATTCCTTGCCCCAAAGCTTAGGCTGCGGGAAGGCGGCCTCCAGCAAGGCCCTGTGGCTGCAGCCATGAGACGCCTTTCGTAACACTTGGGAATGGGAGAGGTTTCCGTTCACATGGGACCTGGGTCACCTTGACCTTGAATTAGAAATTCAATATATGCCCAGCCAGAATGGCTCAGTTGGTTGAGCGTCACCCTGTGGACCAAAAGGTTGCTGGTTTAATTCCCAGTCAGGGCACATACCTGGGTTATGGGTTCGGTTCCCGGTCGGGGCATGTACAGGAGACAACCAATCGGTGTTTCTCACGTCAATGTGTGTGTGTCTCTCCCTCTCCCTTCCCCTCCCTAAGCATGTCCTCGGGTGAGGATTTTTTTAAAAAAGAAATTCAACATAGGCTGATTCAGGTCATGGTTTGAAGCCCGAGACAGAAAAGGTTCCAGTTGGATTAAACACTTAGCAATTCTCGACGGGGTGATGAGAACAGGAAGGGAGGCGGGGCTATTTTCCTGTGGAGGTAGAGGACCCACTTCTTTGGGAAACTCTGGTCTGGGTGGAGACCTGCCTTGGCTGGCTTCCCTCAAGCACAGAATAATCAGGAATCTGAGCATTCACCCCCAGTCCTCACATGTGGGTACTGGTGGGGAGGGAGGATGAGTAATATTGAAATTCAATGACTTGGAATTTTTTTTTAATCTATAGCAGCGATTTTCAACAAGTGTGCTGCAAGAATTTTTAAAACATCCAAGACATGACTATGTAGTCGAGGGCACTGACCTCTTTTCTCTTAGATTGTCAAAAAAATGGCAACAGCCAACACAATAACCATTGGGTGTGAATGAACCAAAATTATATATATATATATTTTTTGGTCAGATCGGCAAAAAATATATTTTTTGGTGTACCACAGAATTTTAGTAATTAGTTCACGTGCCATGAGATGAGAAAGGTTGAAAGTGGCTGATCTATAGAGCTGAATAGCCCTATAGAGAGTAATCAAAACACTATGATCTGAAGCACAGGGGCAGCCACCAAGGGGCCTGAGAAAGAACCCTCAGTGGCCAGAGATGTTCCCAAGAGGAAAGGGGCACTAATGACGACCCCTAAAGCCCTGTCCAACCACCCAGCAGCCTGGGGATCTACCAGATCAAGGGGAGAGGGTTGTCCTGCCTTGATGGGCAGCAGAAAGTAGAAACACTTCCTTGCCCACAACACAATCACCCCCACCCGTTTCCCTGGCCAAATCCCTCCCTGATCCCATCTCCCCACCCTCTCACCTTCCATCGACTCCCCTCCCATCCTATCAACCCCTGGGGACCCTCAGGGAAGATTTCTGAGAGAGCCCCC